GCTTGGTGTTTTTGCCATTTAACCAGGCTGAGCAGCCGATGCGCTGCTTCAATCATCATCTGCCACTCTAAATGCTACTGCTAATTAGCATTCACATGCTAAATTACCTCCCATCCCATGTTTCCTGATTAGTCTTAATCATTCTGACAGCAAGTAATACTGCTAAGCTTGCAAAGCCAATACACGCATGACCATCTGAAACTCCAGGAGGAGATCCGAGGCGCTCTCATTGGCTGGATCCTGGGATTTGAAGAGCTTGGTACACTGCTTCGACAAGTGGTTCCAAACCAGAGGGCACAACCCCTCCAATGGATCATAAGCTTCATATGAGGAGTCTCAAATTGATTTACAGGCATTAAAAAAATATTGTCAGTCTTACTGACACTTCTCTAATTATTGCTTTCTGTATAAAATACTGGATGGTTCTGTCTCTTCAGGCATCCATCAGTTATTCTGTTAAAATATTAAAAGAGATATAGAAAGAAAAAGAATTACTCAATGATGGAAGAAGAACTCATTGACTCAAGTAAAGGTTTAAATAAACAATGTAAAATATTCAATTATAAATGAATTATCTACTGAAGTAATTATACAGAAGTATTATCAGCAACATGTACTGAAAGTATCAAAAGTAAAAATACTAATTCCGTGAATAAATGCTCCCTGCTAACAACTATATAATATACCACTACTGATATTATGTACTATATTATATACACTTCCACTGACATCAAAAAGACTGGAAAGCAGTGTCTTCTTATGCTAAATGTGTCAAAGTCAAATAAATGTACAATTGTACAAAGTACAATTACAACAGTGCAATATTCCTGTACTGCACTCTATATACTGTAGACAGGCAGTGAGGTATCCTTTATATAGTGTCTAAAATATGGAGGGAGATTATGATACAATACACACAGCAGCATCAGGTTAGTGGTCGGTGCATGAGGTAATAAACTGTGTCACATCTGTGACAAACACTGAGTGAAACTAGTGAAACATCCTGTGAGTGGGAGGGACGAACGAGATGGCAGGAGCAGGTGAACTCCTGCTTCACCTCCGCAGCTCCGAGACGCCCTGAGTCTCACCAGTCTCACTCGTCTCCTTGTCTCGAGGCAGTGAAGTGCCAGCGTCGTGTCAATCAACCTGTTGGCACGGTTACCTCGGTAGTGCTGTACTCCAATCCTGTCACTCAGGCTATCTTCCAAGATTGAAACGATGGGTAAAGTAATTGGATTTGCTGCTAGCAGGGAAATGATGAAATGACATGAAATCACCCCCCCACACACACAAACACACATTCACACACCTTCACACCGCTCCGAGTAAGTCTCTCTCTCCCTCTCTCTCTTTCTCTCTCCGTTTGTCTTTGTTTCTGAAACCTGGAAATACTTCAGGCTGTCGAGGAGTTTCTTTTCTTCTCCCCTGATGTGGCGAGAGCGCCTTGTTCTCCCAGGTAGACAAAAGAGGCGAGGACATGAGGGGAATTAAAGGATTTCCAGGTTTTTACCAAGATCTGAGGAGGGGTTTTTTTTTTAAGGAATGTGTCTAGTAAACGGAGCACAAGGCAGCACACAGTGCAAATAAGTACCCCACCCACTCCTTGTCTGCACCTGAAACATCGTCAATGAAATTCTAACTTAACTTTATTTTCCCACAGATCCGAGCTAAATCTCATGTTCTGGCTTTGATGTGGTTGAAACATCTGAAAGAAACTACAGGAAGTGGAGCCATTGTGTAAAGACTTTTTTTCAAACTAGGGTTTTCACAGACTTAAATTACATTATATGTTTTACTACATTTTAATATTTAATATTGCTCCTTTATTGTGGCCACTGTTCAACGACAACAGGACAGCTCCTAAAAAGTAAAGCCAAAATTGTCTCAATTGCCCCCTGGTGGCTGCGTATAGGTTAAATCATATTAATCAATAGTTTAAATATCTCCTCCTCCATATTAGTTAAGAAGTTATAGTACAGGTCACACAAATTATCCTCATCTATAGTTTCTGTCATTTTAAATAGTTCTTATCACACTGATTTATGTCCGAATGTTTCATTCATTTTGGTTTGAATTAGTTAGTTTAATTCATGATTGTATCGGTAACCTTGCTGATTGGACCCCACATTTTTTCAATTGCATATCTTAGGTCCAAAATTCTGCTAACTTCATTATTTTTATCGACCATTCCACCTCCCATATTGCCTGTCCATTCTAAGACATGCTCTGTGCTAAAGCTTTGAGTTAATTAACTATTATTTTTTTATAATCTACTAATCTGCTGAATAATTTCTTAATTTATCAAAGTGGCACATTAACATTGCAGAACTAACTGAAATGATTAATCTATTATTATTATAAAATTGTTAATTATAAACTTGGACTTATCAATTCAGTGATTAATTGTTCCTCCTCCTCTGAGTCAGATATACAGATCAGCACGTATGCAGTGCCAGTATTTTGTTATTGTCTTCTCTCTGATAACAACTGTATGGTAACAAAGGTCAAACTGTGTCATTAAAATGAGCTATTATTTTTGACACAGGGTTGTTAATCAGATGTCCTCAACTTTGCCACGCAAAAAAGCATGAAAACAAACAGAATGATAATTTTAATACTTTTAAATCGAGAACAGTGGCCTGCAAGGAGAGCTAATAAAACATGCTACTCAGAAACTCAACAAACTCAGTAGTGATGGAAATGTTGGAGGAATTTTGCACATGCATGCTGTGTGCATTCTGATTATGTTTGCTTCAAGCAGTGCTGATTTACACTGGTGCACATCACGGCTCCATCTCTCTCACAAAGCGCATAGATGCCAACACTAGCTCAATAGACTGCCGATAGGTTTAAGATTTACACTAGTGATTATATATTCATAGATCAATCGATACAGGGAGTCTAGCAGCCGAGACATGTCCACGCAGGCGAACACGCATTTAGCAACGTTCACATTGTATGAATTCTAATGAGCGTGAGTGCGCGCGTGTGTAGACGTCAATACTCTGCAGCTTTACATTTCATTAGGCCAAGGAGCACAGTTTAACTCCCAATGAATAGCAATAAAACCACACAGCCCGGAACCATCTCTCTCCATCTACCTCAGCATCTCTCTCTTTTTCCTACTTTCTTTTCCTCGTCCTAACTCTACCCCGGTCTTCCTCTGTCCTGAGTTTTACTCAATTTTACTAATGTAGTTCAGCCGTTTAAACACTTGTTCTCTAATTTACTTGGAAAAAGAAAAATGTAATTTACAACCAAACTAATCAACTCTTGTGTCAGAGGAAAGACTCACCAGGCACAGACAAATGTAAAAGCCTCATAAAGTAGCTACAGTGTGAATCACTGCTGATTTATAGTAATTGTTGCCCTGTGTCGCCATTTCCCTGCTTACGCAGAGACGACTGCATGTTGCTGCAGCATCTGCATTGATCTGTGCGAGGACACCGGCAGCATCTACCTCCGTGTTCACCTTCCTCCCTCCATCCCTGAGCACAGGAAGACTCGCCGGCTGAGGGGAAATGGGATTCCGATCAGTGGGATATCATCCAGGATCTGCTGACCCCACATGCTCAACGCACCCACAAATCATCTGTCTGCACGCACACACACACACAGACAGTCCAGGGGTCAGGCGCAAGGACTAGTGGACTAGGTTTCAGTCGACTTAGCAAAACACCAGAGACAGGAAGCTATAAGGAGGCGTGTGTGTCTCTGTGCGAGTGTGTGTGTTGTGCATATTAGCAAAGCTTGTAAGAAAGCACACTCCACGGACTACAGAGACGCACAGAGCTAATGCCTGAGTGGTCATATTCAAACTAGGCTGAATATTGTAAGTGTGTGTTAGTTTAGATTAGGAGAGCATGACAAGTGTAATGTAAACACAGAGACATCATTTGAAATAAAGGACACAAGCACCTACAAAATAATAGTGGACTTGAAAGACTTGAAACTTTTCAAAGTTAAATGCCAATGACATTAAAATATGCATCTAACTTTTTTTATTTAATTATTTTTAAATTATGTATGTATTAATTCAATTACGATTCTTATCCTCAGGTGATTGTTTGTTGGGGTATCGGGAACACGGACACACTCAAACGTGTCCTGCTGAGGAAAGAAGTGGAAAAAAAACAGAAGAAGAAACACGCTCACAGCGGCTCGGTGGGATCTCAGATGAAGGAGTAGCTGATTGGCACACGCACCGTGTGGCCTACTCAACAGGGGTACTTGAGGTGCACACACATACACCTACTGTAAACCCACCGGCACACACACAAAGGGACGCCATGCTGCGCCTATGCTGAACATGACGGAAATTACTGCTATTACTACTTACCGCTAGATTTTGAGGCTCCCGTTGCAACACTAAGCACAGACCACACACACACACACACACTCATGCACATTACTTGGAATCTTATCGCCTGAGGTACTCAGAGGACAAATAAGAAATCATCTTCGCGCCCACCTACAGACAACTCAGAAACCCTCCCTGGCTCTTGACAACCCTGGGAGTGGACCACCACACAACACTCAGCAAGATAAAATGCACACAGCTCCAGATTGTCAAGCAGCATGAGCTCCACACATCACCCAGAGTCACTCTCTCTCACAAATACACACACACAAACACACACACACACACACACACACACTACCTGGGAAAAACCTGCATGTCTCTTATTGCGGTTTGAGAGCATCCAATAATTAAGCGGACGAAAGCCAAAAAATACACGACCAAAAATCACACACTGGAGTCACATCAGATGAAAATCACATTAAATTGGGTCTGCAAAGCAGCATTGTTCCTCTAGCTGTGATATTTTTTAAAAAGTACATTTTCGACCCAAACTTTGTTGAATCTTCTCTGTTTCAGGAGTTTTCCCAGCCACACAGGCATGAGCCATCAGAAGTGGACTTCCAAGGTTTTCACATCATGACCACAATAGCAATTTCAATCTGCGTGTACACACACACACAAACTTCAGGAGACCTACCTTCTTCATGTGTCCGCTGCGAGTGCCAGTGAATGCCACAGTGTGTCCGCGGTAGTCATAGGCCGCCACGGAGGTCATGCCGTCGTCCTTGTCCACATAAAGCGGGATGCCCTCGATGGCAGTGGTGCCCCCTAGAGGCTGGTTGAAGTCCTGGCCGCAGAAGTTATCGTCTATCTGCAGAGGCTGGGGGGTTCGGAGAGAAGGAGAGAACGCCATCAACTCAAGCATTAACACCTTTTAAATCCCTTTCTTTAAAATAACATTAATTCTTAAATAAGGGGGAGGCTTTCCATCTCCTCAGCACTTAGTAGACGTTTTATGGTGCTGGAGCGAAGCCAAGCCGCTGCAGATTTAGTGAGAAATGGTTTGAAATTAATGTGCGTCGTTAGGAAAATTAACTTCGGTTTCCTCAACTCCCTCTTATAGGACTTTTTGGAAAAGTGATCTAATCTCACCGGTACGCAGTTAAGTCTTCTGCGACGGGAGCTTTTCTCCTCCGTACACTCCTCCTTTGATTATTTCATAGGAGATGATGTCAACCTGAGCAATTTAGCATTTCAGCATGGTTCGAATGAATGAACAGCTGTTTGTTAATGTTTTAAATATTGATCTCTTTGTGTAGAGCGTTGGCAGCGTAGTTTCTAATAAGAGACAAGTCGATATGGGGAGTAAATCAAAGGGAACTGGAATAAACATGGAGGGGGAGGGTGAACGCACGAGCAGGACAGTGGTGCAGATGACAGAGAAATGACAGGAAGTAAATTATAGGTCAGATTAGCATACCATAATCAAAGTGTCTTGTACAGGCACCCAGATATGCTGATATGTCACATTTGATTTATGAACATACCGCGTGTGTGTGTGTGTATACGTGTGGGGGGGGTGTAATAGGCATGTCATTAAAAGCCTGTGATAGGTATGTACGCATCAGGAGGTTCCCCTGACTCTGACATGTGTATGGGAGATCAGCATCTGCATTACCAGTAACACCTGACACGCACACACACACACCCACACACTCCTGATGAGAAGCACACGAGAAAATACACAACTTCGGTTCCACCTCTAATAGTAGATTAGAGAGAAACACAAATGCAGAGACACACAGCACATTTGCATTAGTCAGGTGTCAATCAAAGTGTAGCCTAAATGAAAGAAATCAGTGAAACCTAATCTGATTTCACACACATTCCCCACTAATATGGAGGTGGGTGGTTCACGGAGATAAAACAGCTGGCAGTCCATTGAAGGTAGAAAATATGTTGGAAAGATGGTTGTTTGTTTCATGTATTAATGTGAACAACACAGATCTGATGATCTATTTTAAGTCTATTCATCTGAGAAAAAGGTTGACAGATGTTTAAACCACATGTTTCATATCAGGATTCCTTTCTGTCACATTGCATTTTGTTGCACTTGTTCACTTTCCATCTTTTCCACATCAGCATAAAAGGTCCAACTGTCCAACATTTGTTTACTGTGCAAACTGTCACCAGCAGGGAAAACCACGCAAAAGAAACGGTGCTCAGAAAACTTTCAGAGAGAATTCACATAGATCAAATTAAGAAGAAAGGAAAGATTATGTAACGATGTAAAACACATGCAAACAGCAACACATAAGCTTAAAGCTACACTTGCACAGGGAAGGACATAGCACACACACACACACACACACACAGATATGCAAACACACACATTCCCATGACAGATTTGCAGTTTTGTAGGGGTGGTGTGATTGATTAGTCTTCATGGAGATGATTTGTCTTGTAATGAACAAGCGAAAGCTGGCATGTTCATTTGTGTTAGTGTGCGGGGCTTGATCATGTGTGTGTGTGTGTGTGTGTGTGAGTGTGAGTGTGTGTGTGTGTGTGTGTGAGTGTGTGAGAGTGTGAGTGTGTGTGAGTGTGAGTGTGAGTGTGTGTGTGTGTGTGTGTGTGTGTTATGCAGGCTTAAATAAATGTTGCCAAAATGCCTGTGGCGGACATTGTCTGCCTTCTACCAGACTTTCAAAGGCAACTAGAAATAACAGCAAGTTTAACTTGAATGAACAAAGACACAAAGTGAGTCAAAGGGAGTGAGGGAGGGGGTAAGACACACACTCACTCACTCACACAAACACACACACACACACACAGCTTTGGGTTTTGCATGATTTACATAAACATGTTCTCAATCTTGGATATGTTTTGCAAGTGATTTGAGAGGAAGAAAGAAATAAGAGAAGTGAAGTGATGCAGAGGAGATGGAGACAGATAGGAGGAAGAGGAAAGAAGGGGGAGGTAGAAACGCAGGAATGAAGAGAGGGAGAGAGTTAATCGGGAGGGGAAGGAAGAGGAAATAGAGTATAGAGATGGCCATGCCTCGGTGACAGTGTGAACCGTGGCCTTGTATCCCTGCCATACAGTTCCCCTCGTTTCCTCTGATAAAGAAAGACCAGAACCAGATCTCTATCCATTTCTTTCACTCATTTCCCCCTCTTTCTTTTTCTTTCTCCTTTCCCAACCTTGTTTTCCCTCTTTCCCCTGCTCTGTATAAATACTTTTCCCCTCATCTTTTTCATTTTTGGTGGGAACTCATGTCCTTCCCAGAGGGTTAGTCTGTTATTCCTGCTTTCACATGCCTGCAGCTGTCTGAGACCGTCATTCGTTCCTCCCTTTATCGGGATGATGATCACAGGTCACATGATGGTTGAGATAAATGACTATGGGTCCACAGCATTGTCACTGAATATCTATACCACTGTTGTTCAGCTGCATCGCAAAACAGCTGCTGTCCAAACCAAAAGTCTGAAAACACACAACCTGAGTAAAAAACTGTTTATAATAGTAACTGGCTGTATCATTGTTGGGCCTGGATTTATTTACACCAGGCGCCTCACTCTTGTAAATTCATCTGCATTCCCAGTGTTTGTCATTCTCGCACTGAAGTGAGATCGCCATCTTCCCATCTTCCCGTCGCCGGCATGCTGAGGATGCTAATGGTTTGTTATGTTTAGCCTGACTTGCATCATTACCATAGAGTCAACAGCTCAGATTGAGGCACAGTGGAGCGTTCAGTCGACGTGTTTTCACTGCAGACAAATGTGGCTTCACACAGACTTGGCATCTGCTGGCTGTTTTGTGCCTTGTAGACATGTAATTCCTACAGTCTGCCTGCTCTATCATTCCTCCGCAGCGACTCATGGCGGAGACGCTGGGGCAATTATAATCAATGATACGGACGTGGATGAAAAGCATTAAAAAAAAGAGACATCTGACCAGCATGTGCTCACATGAATGTCTATTACTTAAACAGGTAATCATGATTATTTATGACACATTATATACTAATATAAAATAACAACCACAGCCATGTAATAATTATTCAATCGGTCTTCATTCATCCCTGTCACAATTATTCCCTATGGAAACACTCATGTTTAATGCAGGTCCAGATGATGACCCCGATGACACAACACTGTTTCTCATCCACTGTTATCTGGTTGAAGTGTATAAATGGACAAAGTATTTGAGACAGACCGAGGTGTAAAAGCACCAGTCTCCTCCTGACATGAGTAAGCTTGTCTCCTGCCCTGAGCTGTCAATCAGTAAATCCAGGACACCGTCAGTGGATATAACCACCTACAGGGTCTGTGCCCTGTGACAGTGGCAGCCAATGTTACAGTGTCATTGGCTGAAGTTCCTGTTGCTCCTGAGGGAATGACCACAGTGATTTGAGCACATACAGCCATGTTACTTTGAGCTGTTGTGGCATGTATCTGATCCCTGATCAGTCCAACCAGTGACTGATGTGTGTGAGTGAGAGAGCTGGGACACCCTGGTGCAGTACATAGATATGTTTGGATTAGTTTATGGATAGTTCATAACTATGTGGTTGTTAACACTATTGTTACCATACTGGATGTTAAACTGTCATTTCATATTGGTCCATCCAGGTGCACTGTTGGATCTCATTGATACTGTTTGTTTTATAGCAGGATGTGCAGCCAAGGCCATTTCTGACAAAATTAAGACACCCACTGAACTTGAGAACACTTTGATGACATTATCATAATCATTAGACAGGAAGTCAAGTGACTGTGACTCTGGAGGTAGAGGGGGTCGTCCACTGACCAGCAGGTAGGTGGTTTGATCCCTGGCACCTCCACTCTGCATTCTGAAGTGCCCTTGGGGTAAGATTATGACGGCCGTGCCGACAGTGTATGAGTGTATTCGTGAATGGGTGGATGCGACTTGTACTGTTCATACGTGTTGAGTGGTCGGTAAAAGTGGAAAAGCGCTATATAATCACAGTCCATTGACCAGTTTAGTTACTCAAGACAGAATTGAAATAAAGACATCTTGTCCAACACATTACTGTATTATCTCAGCTCACTGGAAGCTAGGGTTGGTCATGCCTGAGATGGTGCCAGTATGTTAATACCAAAATGATGGTACTTTATGTGAAGCATGAAAAAGTTCTCTTTCTCAGATGAAGGAGAAGAAAACACTGTTAAATGGTGTTTTATGGTGACTTTGATCTAAATCAAAATAATCTAAACATTAGGTGCATGCATTTTTGATTGGATCAGGATTGGATTACATTACCTTTTTCTGGCTTGAGTATCTTCACCTATGATTATAAAGGCTGTGCTGTAAATCTGTGTCAGAATCCTTTACTGGGTCTCTAACATAAGGTGACCTGCTGTTGCTTTTATTAGTGCTTTTATAAGCTCCATATAGTCGTCCCTGTTGGCCTGCTGCACCTCTGACCGTGTTATTATTATTAATGCATATCGCTCATGCCCAGGACACTGTACATAGCATCACACACACACACACACACACACTCATTTGTTCTATTTCCAGGGGGTTGGACAAGGACAGAGTCCCCTGTGTTGTCCTTGCTGAAGAACTCTGCTGCACACAGACGCAGGCTGGCCCCTGGCATTGCACGCGCACGCACACACACACACACAAACACACACGTAGACTACTGCCAAACTCTGGCTGGGTGAATGATGACTGGGTGATGAGGGAAAGAGTGGGGCAAGTGAGATCAAGGGAAAGGAGAGGAGACGGGGAGAGAAAGCCACGGAAGAAAGAGAGAGATAGAGGGGAGGGACATGGGGGAAGGCTAAGGGTCAACAGTGCTCTTGTCGCCACTAATGAGCCTCAATCCAGGAAGAGAGAGGGAGAGAGATA